ATAAAATGTATATGTAGAAAACTGCGGTCTTTCATAATGAAAACTGATGATAAAAATAAAATATTTAATAATATAATAATCAATAAGACTTATTATTTTTATAAATTACTGTTATAAGAGAAAGGAGAGTATCGAGTTGTATATATTTGTTGTAATTTTATTTTATCTAATATAAAAACATTTAGCTTTGGAAATAATATTTTATCGAAATATGATAAAGTAAACCTCTTTTTTATTTGCATCTAACATTAAAGAATTCATGGCTTAACTTACTTACGGATGGTAAAGAAGTATATCTACTAGTAGTAAGAGAACCTATTTTTAATTCTTCACACAAGATATTTGACAGATTATCCAACATTCGATATTATGTGTGGGGAAACAAAATTTGTTTGTTTCATATCACATAGATGTCATAAACCTAGTTGAATTTCTCGGCACTCCACATGAAACAGCTGTTGTTTCCTCAGTCTGGGGGTGGTGTCTACTGTCAGATGCTCCGCCTATAAATCAAACCTATGGGCGGTAGGGAGACAAGCCGACGCCATGTTAACATACATAAACAAACCCGGCACATTGTAACTGATAAACGGCGGAAGCAACATGTAACAAGCGATTTCATCCCGATAGAAGTTTTATATTATATGCCCTTCTTCAAAATTTTTTAAACAATCTTTTTACCTTTAAATAAATTAATATGAATACATATTAGTTATACACAACTTGTAAAATTATGTAAAATGTATAATTGATTTTTTTTCAAAATATTGGTTATAAATAATTAATTCGTTTTTATTGCAATTTTAATTAAAACTTAATTTTATAAGTGTGCATAGATACGTATTTTTATTTTATAACAATAACATAAAGATATATATTTTGACAAATTATTTAAATATATATTATATTTTTTTAAATATTTCTAAATTTTGTTGTTAAAATATTTGTTAAATAATTATAGCATATTATTTTGTTAAATTATATTATTAATAAATATTAATTAATAGTTGTAATAATTAATCTATGTAGGATAAAACAACAAGAGAAACTGGAATCTTGATTTTGTAATTGTTTTGCAAGCGATGGACAAAGATCACGGATCGGTTAATGATTGAAGGTGCCGGTCTCGGAGATCCTGAGACTAATCAGACTAAGCATTAATCTTCCAAGTGGATCCTCGACCCAATTCTCATAAGGTCAAGTCGCAATGGAGACGTTGATTGGATTCCACGTCAAACCAGAAGTAAACACCTTTTCTATCATTAGGCGTCGTTTATTTCTTTTTTTCTTTCACTCTCGATCTTTCGCGGAATTAAATTTTATTTAATTATCTCGCATATTTATTGATGGAACTAATGATCATGACGTGACAATTGACGCATTTCGCTATTCATATTTGCTCATTAATAATTCATAGACATCGTCATTATTCTAATAATTCGTTCGATTAACTTGTCTTTCAAGCTGGCTGACGTAGCAATGACACATATGAAAGATATCCCGCAGCTGTAGGGTTCTCCTTGCAATGATATTGTGTTGATTAAAAATTAACAGATTACTGATATCCCTTCCTCCTGCGCGGTTTGAGAGCAAGAAGATATTACTAGGTAATTGTAAACCGCAGCTTCCACAGCTACTATGGACCGTTTATCATCGTCTCTATAGCTACCGGGTCGTTGAGTGAGGAGATTTGGGGGTTCACCGTACTAAGAGTTGAAACCTCAGCATGACTGGTGGCCTCGGTAGCCGATAGACGTGTCATTTATGCGTCTACGAATCAATAGCCGCTTCACTTTACACCCACCTTACATCATTAGTCATTTTATAGGGCCGTTCTGCTCCGTTACACGCGTACGCGGCATTTGCTCACGACTGATTTGTCGTCTCATCCCGCCATAAGTCTGTCGATTGGGAAGACTATGTGCTCATCGATTATGATTAATCTAATTTTTCACATTTCTATTATTGAATATTGTAACGTTAGTTTCATTTGAGTAAGTTATTCATTATTGAAAATTCAGATACTGTATGTATTAAAAATTGAGTTTGATGTTACGTCATATGCAGCAATTAATAAAGCAGCTAATTGAAGTGTGCCACGTTCAGGTTCTGATGTAACTATTATAATAATCCGAGTTCTGCGGCGTGACGTGAGTCAATTCATCATCGCAACTATCGCATATGTTCGTAATACCTTTTTCAAAACGTCGAAATGACGGTATCGATTGCTCTTCATGTAGTTTTATAGTTCAAATAATTTTCACTCAAAATATCCTTCTTGCCATATGCAATGTAAGTCTCACGTCATTCAAAAATTAAAATTTATTAAATTGCATATTTTCGAGTTCGGGCTAATAATCTTAACAAAATCGTAATTTTATTTATTGTCAACTATTGTATTCAAGAATAAAAAACATTTGATGAAAAACATCTATAATAGCGTTTATTTCCACAGAAATTATCTTTTCGAAAATATTTAGCCAACACTAAATTAGTTTTACGTATTACTAAACGTAGTATTAAAGTTACTCAGTATGCAATAATGGAAAAAATAATGAGAACAGTTATAAGGTCGCGCTAATATACAAGAAGTTATATTTGACTTACTCAGCAACTTTTACTAACGTTTACTACTTACGTTTATTAATTTCCTCGCTGCAGGCCTCATTATTCTTCAAGATACGGCGCATATCTGCGATTGCAATGTGATAAAAGACCTTCGCACGTTGCATTCTCGTATCGCAGAATTGTTGCTAACAAATGAATAACTTTGATGAACGTAAAGTCTTCTTTTTGCAAAAACCTGTTTTCCTCTCTCCTGATGGACCAAAATTATGATTCCGAGCATCGTCCAAAGAAAATTGGAAGTTGATCAATTTCCGATACATTTGAGAGGAGGATATTAGAAACGGAGGGGAATCGTAGTCAGAAATAAATTTCACAATTTCGTCATTGGCGGCAACGGGAGCGCGCAAGGCGTGTAAGATTCTATTTGCGGTAGGCGAACGAGTTAACGGGCGGGATGGATCGGCAAGGTGTCTCCGTGGTTAAAACTCAACACCATACATGTGTGTATATATATATATATATATATATATATATATATATATATATATACACTGGAGAGCGAAGCTCCCGCTTCCTCCATCTATCATGCGAACCATGACAAACCGAGCCTCAAAAGCAGCCGCCAGCGTAGCAGCACTTTCTTACCTTCTTCACTTAGTCACCGGGCGCTCAGGTGAGCCTCTACCTGTCTGATATACAGGACCCCCTATTCCCTATCTACATTTATTAACATTTAAGCGTTAACGACATTTCTCTCTCGCGCGTCCCGGAAGAAAAAGAAAATAAGAATCGTTACGCTGGCTACTCGTATCTCGCTGCCTTCCATCTCGGGATTCCTTTCGATTTAGACGCGGTTCTTTGTCTCAAGAATACAGCGCGAAATCGATTAAATGAAACAATTGCGGTAATCCTGGAAATCTTTACGCTTACACGACACACATTAATTAATCACTTCTGACCGCGGAATATTTAATTCCAACCAACGACTAAACATCCACGAAACAATGTTGGAAAAAAAAAATTAGCGAATTATGTTAAACAAAAAAATAAAAAGTGCATGTTACACTGCTTAATGCTGTATATTATGAATCAAGGTGAAAGTCGTAGAAATCCATGCGTTTTCTGCTCAGCGGATATCGGATGGAAAGCAAAGTGGCATGAATGAGTTGTCCCTTGACGATCGTAAGATTTATGGTCGGCAACGGTTGGGCGGAAAGGACAAGCATTGCACGACTCGGGGCCTGTAACCCTTGACCCTGCAGCTTCGAAATCCAACCTCGGCATGACCACGATAGCACCATATGATCGACGATAAAGGTATATTGTAAAACGTTCGGACGTAAATTTTATCGAGATGTTCGTTTGTCGGCTACTGCCCGACGCTTCGCCGAATTTATCATGTCACACGATCGCGCGTCGTGTTACTCGCAATAATATCGTCACATGCCTGAAAATCGGAAACAACTAAGTTGCTAAGCGTCGGAAAGCTAGGGCTACAGGTTACAAAATGCAATTTTCTAGTTCTTCAACTGTTATTTTATTTTATTTTATTTTTTTTTATTATCCGTAAAGCTTCGTTGGTCGGAGAAAAAGTTAATAGCTTGGAGAAATTAGCCAATGTGGGGAGGATCGTTGATCGGGGATCGTGTTTCGGGAGGGTGTTTCTGCACAGATGCAACGATAGCAACAGTTCGGCCCGCTCGAACCGGAGGTCACATATGAGCTCGAAGCTATGGCGTCGTATGGGCTTGACTCACACGCATCACGCGTAGTCATCCATCATTGTCAGTCTCTTCACTGACACGGCCGTCCGTCCTACCAACGCGCGGGGCTCTCGATTTGAGTTTCTTTCGTCAAAGTTGTGATTTTGTACAAAACGTCGCAATTCACGATTCTCCGTTGCTGATATCGTAATTATTACAACACTATTGTTTTCTCTGACTCTGACAATAATAATAATCTTTTCTGATAGTGTAAGGCATATCGCTAAGTATCGTTAAGGATATTTCAGTGAATTACCGTTTAGCCTTTCTTTAGTTTTATATGACCGTGATAAATCAATTTATGTGTGTAAGGATTTCTTTGGCATAACAAATGGCGCGTTAATCTCTGAATAGAATATGAAGTTGACACGGTGTAAGGATGCTGCTAAGAATAATATTTCAGTTCGATTGCTCCGATATTTTGGGTCATCCATCATCGTCACTTTCATCGCCAGCATGGGCAAACCATGCCATCTACGATCAAAATTTACGCGTTCCGCCACCGTTCATGGTCATTCCTTCGTTAAACTTATGATTTTCCGTATCATTCGTTGGTTTACACGATGCTTTCAGATTCCATATGGTTTAGCACTTTTAATTGAGCAACTAAAATAGTAAAAAAAAAAAAAATGACAACTAAATAAGAAAATAAGAACACTCGTACTCTTACTTTTCACTATGATTTGTATTTGTCAAATGTACCGATGAGTGAATGTACACGTGTGATAACTTCGTTTACCGTGTCAAGGGCTCACTTGCAACACAATTATGTAGTCAGAATGAATAACCAATATATATACGGTTATCGTACGCGCGTATGTACATGAGAATCTTTATATGAACAACGACGGCGTCTAGTGTTTTATACAAAAAGAGCTGCGTATTAAATATGTTACCGCGCGAGGTGAAAATTAAAATTATGTCTCTACATTTACTTTTATATATTATCTACCGTAAGACAATAATTTATTTGGTTCGCTTAAAGTAGCGTTAGAGGGCTTTTAAATAAATGCGATTTGTGAAAAAATGATAATGCAAACCAATGTTCGGTGAATATCAACTATTACAATAAATACATCGTCGCAATCTGAAGAAGTGAATTATCATTCAAAATATTGCTTAACGATATCCATTCATCATTAAATAACATTAGTTACGACACAGAATAATACGTTAATTCGAATTAACTTTAAAACTTGTTTCATTTTTTCACAAAACGAATAGCGCAACATTTTTACAAGTGCAATTGTTTCTTTTCGCAATAGTGGCCAAATAACTGATTTTTAACTAGTTTCCATATTCAATTGGAGAACATTGATCTCTTTTTATAAGAGAGAGAGATAGACATCTATTTCCTGTATTTAATTAAAACTAATCGATTGTGCCTATTTCACTTTTCAGAAATTGTATACTCGATATAGTAATCGTGACTGTATATAAATGCGATTTTTTTCTTATTCACTTGTGTTCCATTAATCTATCCTTCGTATGATATATATGTACATAGTTTCATTGTCAATTATTGCTCACATGCACCTACAGTCTCAGGCCTCATTTTATTGTTTTAAACAAAATACGATTTCGTTATACGATTCCGTTCGCTATCATATTAAAATTAAATCATTTGGATGTGTAAATTTAAAAATTTCCTTAAATCTTTATCCTCGAGATCTTCAAATAAGATAAAATGTTTCGACGGAACGCATTTTTTGCCAGTGATTGAAGTCACACCGAAAACAAAAGGGCAATATGATTTCAGTGATCTATACAATCTAGTTTTTTTTGAACATCCTAACGATGCACCTAATATAAAAACCGTTCACGTCAAGAAGATTGCACTTATATCTCGTGTTTCCATTCATAAGAATGGGATCGTTGAATCGAAACTCTCTATCGAATTTCCATTCCGTAATAATGTGGTAAACTTCTGATACATATTTACAACACCTTTCATGCACATTTATAAACCACAGCTCACATATATCAGTCTAATATCACTCACAGATCATTCTTTACCTTTTGCGATTAAACGCGTTTCGTACCGAAAGGGTTGTGAATGTCAATTTTGTAACATAGTTTAAAAATTCTGTTAATAGGGGAACTCCGTTATCGTCATTTAAAATTAACACAACCATTGCACTCGTTGTCACCGTTGTATGTATTCCTCAATGTTTGGAATGTAAATTAGTAGAGTTATATCCTGTTTGATGATAAGGTATATTAAAATTGATATTACTCGGATGCGTAATAACATCATCGACTGATTATCGACTATAGTCGATAACTTTTTGTTCTTTCAGGCTTCAGATATGCTTGCAGTTGTTGAAGTCAATTTAAGTATCTATATACAATTATGTCACATAAGAGAGTCCTCGTATCTTGATTAAAGCAGCCAGTCTCGAAAATAATTTCAACACAATTCGCGGAAATAATCACTTTGAATTATTAGAAGACATTCAACAACTTAGATCAGCTGGCATAGATTTATAGACACACGCACTGTCGATGATATTTCCGATTTAAATCTATTTTATTTTTACACGATTTCCACAGAGTGTTAAATCACGAGTATTAGAAGTATGTACAAATCACCTAGCTTCTTATGCGACGAGCACAATGTGTTAGCTTCAGTACAAAGCGTTGAGCAGGCATTGCTCGTCGCCCCAGTCTAGCTGGCAGGGATTTTCGGTCTCGTGGACTCAGCTGAGCTGATAATACTCGGGTGCGAAATCGTTTGCCAGATTGCTGAGGAAATTGAAGTCGGACGAGCTGTTGCTGTTGTCGGCGGACGGCGGCGGCGCCGCCGCCGCGGCGGTGTGCACCGGCTCACCGTAGAAATTCCCGTAATTGCCGTAGGATTCGTTGTTGCTGTCAGCCTGGCCGGCGCTTCCGGGTGGCGTGATGACCGCTGCGGTGGCAGCTGCGATCGCCGTCGCGGTTGTCGTCATGCCGGGCGCCGGAAACGGATCGGGCGACGATACGTAGCTGTTCGGGATGCTGGAAGCCTCGCCGCCCTGATGAACGTGCAGCTGACTGGCGGTCTGCTCGTAATACGCGCCCGGGTGACACTTGTTCCCCGGTCGGTAGTCGCCGGAACTTGGATGCATTGGCGGCTGATGAGTGACGTAGCCCTCGGCGGTGTGTTGCTGCGGGTGTTGCTGCTGCTGTTGGATATCATTGAAATAATGCTGTCCGGCCTGCGCGGATACGGCGGCGTGTCCGTGCGTCGCCAGATTCTCCCCGGTTCCGTGATAATTGCCGCCGGTCGAGTAACCATAATTTCCAGGAGTCATGTAACCGTCGGTATTTTGCTCGTTCTGCGTCGCCGAATATCCTTGGCCGGAATTGTACGCATTGGTACTTTGCATACCTCTATGATAAGCATGATAAGGTGGCCCGGCTTGAGGATATCCGTTATACTCTCCAGTGCTGCCGTACTGTAATTGTTGCTGATGGAACTGCATGTTGGCGCCATACATAGACCTCGATGCCGTGCCCGTCGCTCTCACGTGATGCGCCACTCTTGAGCCCACCGCTTGATTCTGCCTGACGTACAGAGGATTTACCTCACTCGGATAAGAGATTCTTGGTTGCTGATACGTGTCTCTACAGTAACTGCTCTGCGATTGCGTCTGTTGCGATGCTGCAGGTATATTCTGCCTATTGGCGGGTACACCGTTTCGATAATCGATAGCCGGCGTTGGTTGATACACGCCCTGCTGTTGGAAATGTGCTTGCTGATTGTTCGAGAGATTTCGACCACCGTGCGGCGACATCGTTCCCGGGTTCGTAGATGCGTGCAACATCGGGGCTGGTAACGAGGTGGTAGAGGATGGCGAGCTTCGCGGCCTCTGCATGTAAGCCGTGTGAGCCGCTTGCTGAATACTGAGAGGGCTGCCCTGCTGAAGCTGGACGGAAACGGGGGTACCGGGTGTCGAGGATGGCGTCAAACTCCTTGTAGAATTTTGACCCGGTAAAACTGGCGTGCTGACCGTCGAGTCCGGCATGGCCAACAAGACACCATTGCTGTTCACTGAACACATATCCTTTGTGCTGGCCGATGGCGATTTCTTACTCACCGAAATCTGTTGTTGTTTTGCTGTGTTTGGACTCTTATGGCCACTCTCAACCTTCACTCTTACTTCGCCCGATAATTTTTTTGTCACGCTTGGCGACGTCACTTCGCTTCCATCTTGCGATCTCGAATCGTCGTCCACAATCATCTTTTCGAACGAGCTGGAGACACTGTTGGTACTGCCAACGCTGCTGGCACCGTTGCTGTTCGTATTAAAGCCGGCGTTACTGTTGTTGTTATTATTATTGTTATTAGTTGCACCAGGTGTATTGTTGTTGTTGCTGTTCCTTCGACCGGAAGAACCTAAATCGGTAACGTCGCCGGTGAGGGTACTTCCGACATCGCCTACACCCGAAATATCACAGTTATGACAGCTCTTCTTCTCGTCACTATCAGCGGATAACATTTTGTCACTTTTAGGTTTTTCCATGCCATCCGATGTGGAACCATCCTTTTCGTCGCCGTCTTCCTTGCTAAGCGTTTGTCGCTTGTGTTTCATCCGCCGATTTTGAAACCAAACCTTTACCTGTGTGAAAAAAAAGAATTACATTTATTTTTTTTAATTACAAAAAATAAACAATGCAAACACATGCAATGCATTAACAATTATTCAATAAATAACGAAAAATATATTTCTTGTAATATTTTTAATAAAGTAACATAAAAATGGTATCAACATTTTTAAAATAAATAAATGGAAGCAACACTATAACAATGACTCTTATAACATTATAACATTATTTGATTCGAATTGTTACCTGTCTTTCTGTAAGATCCAATGAGGCTGCGATCTCTATCCTTCGCGGTCGACAAAGATATTTATTGAAGTGAAATTCTTTTTCCAGCTCGAGAAGTTGTGTATTTGTATAAGCTGTTCGTAATCTTCTTGGTAGACCATTCTCTGTAAAACAAGAATCCATTCTTCTTCAATCGTTATAATAATGATAAATTCAAAATAATATAACATAGATGTTCGTCAATATATGAGATCAATTTAATTATCTGCATTTATTTGCGTATTTTGGACAATATCATTTTAGATTTAAATATCTCGCAAATAGCGTCAATATTTTTATTATTTAGTATGTTGAGAAAATCATTCGTTTTAATTTTCGATTTTATTTCTTTGCAGCACGTTGAAGGTTTCGCGTCACATCATTCGCTTTGTCGTTACCGCAGCAATGCTCTCTTTTTGTTATAGGAAGTAAATGATATCCTAATTAATGATCATTTAAGCAACCTAGACTATAGAGAGGAAGAGAAAGATAGGGTGAGAGAGGGAGGGATACGACACGACATCCTTAACAATGTATAAGCGAAGATTCCCGCATAGCGAAAAGGACCATTCTGGTGTTGTTCCGACGAGTTACTGGGCTCCTTAGAAACTTTTGGGCAAGTTTCTCACCGGCACTATTCCGTGTCGATGCGAAACACCTCCTAATTGTTATCGGACAAGAAACTTGTTCTGCGATAACAAGAGGAATGCCACGCAGGATCAAGAGGACGCGAAAACATAAGAGGGAGAGGGCGGAAGGACGGTGTAAGAGGAAGCACATCGCGGTTTATTCGGGCAGATTTTCTAGAAAGTACCGACCAAGTATCTCACGGTACTTCGTCGAGGTATGTGGCGTAAGAGTAATTTCCACCCAACTGCGGTAAACAATTATTAATAGCCGCCTATCGTAATTACAGAATTCGCTGCACGCCCGGAGGAGTAATATTTCAATCAAACTTGATGGCTTGCCGCAAGCTTACGTTGTTTAACAAGACAAGTCTTGGCAAATTCTCTAGAAACAATGTACATTTTACGATAAATGTTTAGAAAAACTTTCTCCACACTATATTATTTTATGAGTATTTCAAATTTGTTATTTAACATCTATCAGTTAAAAGTGAGTGAGCGAGAAAGAATGAGAGAGGGAGAAAGGGAGGGAGAGAGGGAGATCTTGATGAACATAAACAATATTTACGAGCAAAATATTTCGTACTAATATTTTCTACTAATATTCTATCGGTCACTGGCTACCTGGATGTCAAAAATTTTTTTTTTTATCAAGTAGGGGTGTTACACTTTTTTACGCGTCGCCGTATCACGAGAGAAGAAAAAACCGATACGGCGTGACGCAGTTTGGAGCAAAGGGGCAAGAGAGGAAGGGGGTGGCTCGTTTGGTAGAGCCGAGATGCTAAACTACCCCATAGCGTGCGAGCGGATGTAGGGTGGCTGAGGGGTGGTTCGACAGTAGGATGAGTCGTCAGGGGTTAAAGAAGAAAGAGAAAGAGAATGATCGAACGAGACTGAAGAAAAGAGACATAGAGAAGACGAAAGGTAAAAAGAGGAAGGTATAGTGACTGGAAAAGATCGGAGAAGGTACGTGATAGAGACGGTCAAAAAGGGAGAAGAAGAATAGAAAAGAGAAGAGACACTCGGGGATGAGGAAGAAGGGTGTAGACTGAAGATGTAGTAAGCTTTGAACCTAGCAAATCCTGCACGTGGAGTTTCCATAGGGTGAGGGCGATGGTGGCGAGATGAAAGTATCGCATGATTGACGTGGGCCTCATCAGCATTTCGGTCTTGCGATTGGTTGGACGAAACTGTCGATCAAACTCCACTCCACGCCCTGTATCTGTTCAATCGTTCCAGGAGTTTAATTCAATCCGGCGATGAATACAGAGCAATATTGGGATGGCAAATAACTACCCGATATAATAAATTAAACTGCTTACTAAATAAAAATATATACAATGAAAAACAAAATCTTTTGCTGCTTTTTCAAGAGCTCGAATATGAATTGTTATGATTTGTATTAAATTATTGCATTATTATTATTTAAATTATGAACAAATGATTTGCATAATCTTATATATTAATAGACATAAATCTTTTTAAAGGATTACAAAATATTTTTAAAGGATAAATTTTTAGAACGTAGATGGTTGATATTAGCACAATAATCAAATGACAATAATCAAATATTGTTGCTAGCATTTATGAGTAAAATAACAATACTGTGTCACGTCGCTTCTTGCTAATCCAAATTAGTGACAGGCGTTACTGCTTTGTAATGGTAACGACTTTTTTTGGACGAAAATGTCGGCGTTGCTAGCAAGCTTCTCGTTCTTGCAAGACGATGTAGAGGATGACGAACTGTCAAGGCGTAGTCAAAATGAAGAGCGCAACCTGACAGGATCATGTGTGAGGTGAAAACGATAGAGCACGAAAATAGAATCCGTATTTTCGTATATTAGACTGTTAGCTCTATGACTTCATCCGGTTGAGACTGCTGCCACAAATTCTTTACAAAAGAATTATTAAGGCTTTAAATGTGCAAATTCCGTTAAAGTATCATTATTAAAATAATATTTAAAAGTAAATAAATGTTAATATTGAATTGATATGGAATTAATATTGTTAATTCACATATTATTATATAAGATTTATATAGAAAAATATTAAAAATTAATATATTAGATATTTTTTAATTACTTGAAAATTAGATCTATGTTCCTTTACTAATAATGTAGAGATAAAAATAAATGTAGAAAATAAAAAATAAAATAATAAATAAAAAATTAAATATTATAAAATTAATATATTAAAAATACGTAAAATAATTGCGATTAATAATAAAAAACTAAGAAGTTATTCTTTTCTATGTAACTTATTTATGAAATAATATTGTTACTGTTAATCATAGTTACTATTATTTTATACTTTTCACAATTAATATAAGACATCCTTTTGAATGAAAAATGACAGAAAAGCAATCAGAAACATGCAAAAAGATATTAAAATAATGAATTTTTTATAATATAATAGTTCGTCAATCGTCGATGGAACAGATGCTGGTGCCCGTGACAAAGTTGACAACCGTTCGCTTCGCACGTTCTCATCAGCATAAGAACGTCAGGAGATGAGCAAGAGGCATGAGTTTACACTCTAAAATATAACCTTTTGATGAAATATAATTTTGCCAGTTATGTGATGTTTTTCTATCACTTTTTTAAAAACATGTGTTTCTCAATGTAAACTTATTAAACGAAACTTAAATTCTTTGATATATCAAATCTTTTATCTGTGCAAGTGTAATAACTGTTACAACTGATATAATAAAATAATTAAATAATAATATAATAAAATAAAACTTGAAAAAAATAATTATTTTTTGAAATAATAATATTTTATCGAGATTTCACTATTTATTTTTTTCTATTAACTTTTATAAAATATTTAAAATTTTTATTCTAAAATATTTTATTTGTACACAAATTAGATGATATTTATGATTGATATTTTTGATATATTATATATATTTTTTACGTTAGGAATGGTACAATACAAGTGCGCTTCTTCTTCAGATTTATTTTTTAAAGTTCGACATAATGATAAAGTTATTTATATTCTTTGTCTTATGATATGTATTTTGATTTTTAGAGAAATTTTTATTCCCCGAAATTTTCAATCATACGCATACAGAAAATAGAAGAGGAGGTGATCTGCACGCAAGCTATTGTTCAATTCCACTTTTCACTCGCTCGTTTCTCTTGTATTCTTTCGCCTTTGCTATGCCAGAATGTTTACGAACAGTTGGTGATATTCCCATGTTATCTATTTCTTTCTTAATTTTTGTATCATTTATGATGCTTTTATTGATTAATCCATTTTCGTTGAATAATAATGAGTAATAAAAACTATGTCTCAAGAAAAGCTTATCAATGATGTAAAGAAAAAGTAAAGCTTCAATTGAGAAGTAGTTCTCGCGCGCGACCAAGTCGTCCGGATCACGGATTTCCTTTCCATGTCCGGCTTCAGTATGCTCTCGTTTTCTCTGGACTGGACCAGGTCGTTTATAGACAGGTGGGAAGGGTCACATGACGGGCGTCTCTGTAATTTGTCTTTTGTTTCCCTCCGCGCCTGGAGGAAGAAAACTTGCGAGGAAGAACAAAGGGCGGAAAGAACCACTACTTCGAACAGCGAGGAGGAGAGAACGATTACCCCTCTTCGTCCCGTCCATAACTTCTTTCTCTCTTCTCTTTTCTTCATCTTTCCCCTTTCTCTATTGCCTCTCGCTCGTTCTCTCTTCCTCTCGTTCTTTTAGTATCGAGAGGAACCTGCGGCGGCGCGACGGCGGCGGCGTCGGCAGTGTAAACGTATGAAAAATGAGTGACGAGAATTTGAAACAAACGAGAAGACAGCCGGCTCCATGTCCGTGCTTTGACGTGTCCGAAACAGGTATACGGCGGTCAGCGTCGAAGATTACCGTGATCAATAACTTTTTGATCGCTTCGGATGCCTTCAGGAGTTTTAAGTTTGCCGAACATTGCAAATCTGGATTCTAGGGTATGATTTGAAAATACTTTAGGTCTATATTTTATTAAATGCAACATCAATTTTGAATTTGTTTCATAGTTTTACAAAACGTTGATAAAACATTTCATTTAACTTTAAAACGTATATCAAATATATTGCATTAATAAAATTCTTTTATTAATAATATTGAAGTACAAATAGCAAATATTAAATTCTACGTTCAAATTTAAATTAAATAATTAAATTTATGTTTACAAATATTTATAAAACAAAAAATCAAAGATTCCAATTTCTATTTTGTGTTTTTAAATCGAATCAACATTGGAAACGATGAAAATAAGAGAAACTAAATTTTCACTGTAATTTTCTATGCTTGTTTGAAGCAATGGAAGAATTATTCATCGCGTAAGAATAAAGTAGGTATTTAATGCGCCATTGGGTAATTTGTGGCGGATAAGCGAGGGAAGACTGGAAGACTGGAATCGGCATAAACTGTGGCTCATTACAGATTTACACCAAGATGTAGGATGGGTATAAGTGAGGGGCAACGAACAAAACTAAACGCACGGGAACAGAATGAAGGGAGTCGAAGT